TCATTGAATTTATCACCATCTGAATTTATCTTGCTCATGTATTGGTTTGCTTTTTCACTGCCTGTTGGCCTCCTCCCACCCAGAAGCAGCTATGTAACAAGCACAGGTAGCACATCCATGAAACTGTCCCCAGCCCCACCCATCGCAACAGTAATGAGAGATCCTAGAAGCCACAGTCTTGGTCTAGCTTTTCACCACTATATCCTGGACACCTAGCATGACTATGGTCTGGTCTGTACTAGGTGTTAAAGAAGGAATTGATGAATGCATGGAGGCCAGGCCACTTTGCACATATTATTTAATTCCAAAGCATCAAGAACTATTCCACATTTCTATTCCCACCTTCCTAATTAGCTCTTTGGAGGCAGGATTCGTATTATATCCTGTTCCTTTGCGATCCTGGAGTTAGCATCTGGCGGCAGATAACATATTCAGTGGCCCAAGGCCCTCAGCATCTCCCCTTCTGGGGACATTCTAGTTTGGACTCAGACTTAAAATGTGAAAATAAGAAGCCAGGATTCTTGGCCTTACGGAGATCTCCAGGTCACATCACCTTGTTGGGCAAGGCACTGTCGATCTCCTCTTGAAGTTTTGCTTGCACCTGCGGGTGAGTGGCCAGGTTGTAAGCTATAAAGGCGAGGGTTGAGCTTGAGGTCTCATATCCAGCAATAAGAAAGGTGACAGCTTGAGCGCAAATCTCCCGGTCTGTCAAAGCTTTGAGGGAAAAAGGAAAATGGCACCATGAACAGGTGTACAGGCAACAGCCCACATTCTGGGTACCTGCCTGGACTCTGCACCTAGAGAGATGTAACCTTCTGGTATGTTCCTGTTTGGCCACAGGGTTTTCCCACCCCCCTTATTGTGAGATGCCAATGTGAGAACAAAGGAGCTGGGAAGCAGAAGCTCTGAGGAGCAACCGTCCCACAAAGTTGACTCTGGAAGATGAGGGTCTGGTGAAGGTTCCTTCAAGAAGAGGGTCACAGAAAGATCAAAGGCTGACAGGATGCTGTGAGCTCCAGACTGGAGATGATTACAGCCAGCCTCCTCGTCTTACAGATGAGAAGGAAGACACCAGAGGCAAGAGGTGACCAGACAAGGTCACGTGAAGAAGCTGAGCCAGTCCTTTTAGTATGAGGTGTGTTCTTAACAGCTAGCCTGTGCAGTGCAGATGGTTAAGCGCTCAACTACTAGCTGAGGCACCTCAGAAGACAGGCCTGGCCATCTGCTTCTGAAAGGGCACAGCCTTGAAAACGCTGTAGAGCAATGTACCCTGCACACATGGGGTCACCAGCGAGTCGGAACCAACTCGACAGCAACAACGTTTCCAACAAAACAAGCTGTGAGTGGACAGCAACACAGTGACATGTTCTGGGAATTCCTAGCGGTCTCTTCCACGCAGGCTTGGAGGACGGCCTCCAGTCAGCCTGGAGGCAGGACCGACGACCTGCGATGTTACCTTTAGGGGGCTGGTTTGCCTTGCTGGATTCTGAGCTGACGGTGGCCTGCGAATCGATCATCAGCTGTAGAAAATCCACACGGTCCTGGACAGAGAGCCAGAGAGGGCAGAGGGTGAGAGAGAGAGACCCACAGGGCCATGAGTCTTCAATGGCACTCCTGGCTCCCACGGGAAGAGAGGACATGGCTGTGGTTCCCAAGTTTTAGCCCACGTCACATCTGGGAACCTGTCTGAGCAAAAGCAAAAGGCAGTCACCTCCTGCTCTTCTCTGCACCCCTCCGTCCCTCCCCCCTCTCCCTTCATTTTCAGAGCCGGGCTCAGGCAAAAACACTAAAGAATACGAAATTGATACTTACGTCCAAATTATAGTTTGAGACTTAAGCATGGTTTTGAAAACTCAGAAGGCGTCACAGTCACTCATAATCCAAGATGCAAGGACGCATGTGTTGTGCTCAGGCTTTTGTGTGGTTCTTTCTCGTCCTTTCTCAAGGTTGTTTAGATGGGTGAACCCACATTCTGCGCACAATGTTGTGTTTTGGTCTTTTTCACGAGTATCAATATTGGGGCATTACTCCATCCTCTAAGAAGTGCTTCCGCACAGAGTTTATGGTACCCATAGGAGAGTCCCCTAGGAGCTCTGGTAGTATAGTGCCTAAGGCACTTGACTGCTAACCAGAAGGCTGTGGTTCAAACCCACCAGCCACTCCTTGGAAGGAAGGTTGGGCAATCTACTTCTGTAATGATACCGCCTTGGAAACCCAAGGAGGGGTCGCTATGAGTCGGTTCCGACTCGATGGCACATAACAACAACAACAAGAAGGTGAGTCCCCTGGGGTAGTTCCACTCTGTCCTCTAGGGGCATTGTCACAATCACCTCCACGGCAGTGGTTTTGGTTTGGGCCTTGCTTCTGTGAAGATTCACAGCCTTGGACACCCTGTGAGCAGTTCCACGAGAGGGGCGCTGTGGGTCGGAATTGACTCCACAGCAGTGGGTGTGGTTTTGGCTTTGCTTCTGTGAAGACTGACAGCCTTGGAGACCCTGTGGGCAGTTCCACTCTGTCCTCTAGGGGCGCTGTGGGTCGGAATGGACTCCACGCCAGTGAGGGTGATTTGGGCTTTGCTTCCCTGAAGATTGACAGTCTATCAACCCTATGGGGCAGTGCTGCTCTGTCCTCCAGGGACACTCTGAGTTGGAATCCACTTGAGGCCGGTAGGTTTGGTTTTTCTTTTTTGGTGGAAGATTCCATCATATACATATGCCATCATTCGTATCACTCTTCTTTGTGTTTCATTTTGCAAATAATACTCCAAACCAACAACCAAACTCATGCTGTCAAGTCGCTTGTGATTCATATCGATCCCCATTGGGTTTCCAAGGCTGTCAATCTCTACAGAAGCAGACTGCCTCATCTGTCTTCCATGAAGCAGCTAGTGGGTTCAAAACACTGACCTTTTGATTAGCAACCAAATGCATTCACGACTCCATGAGAGTGGATGGAGTCACTTATGAAGAAGTGAGATTTTTGATACACATTTTGCCTGTTTTCTAGAAAGTTTAACAAACGTGGAGTCCAACTAAGGTGGCCGTACCGCTGAGCCTTACCAACGTCATATATTGTTTTAAACTCTACCTTGATAGGAAATAAATCATGATCTCTTTTAAGGCACATCTCAGGCTGTTAATAAGGCCTGTTTGCATTTTCACTTCCTCTTTCAGGGACATCTTCATGTCAGTCTCATTGGTTCCCACTCACTCCTTATAAGTTAAATCCAGTGACACGTCACTTGTTGTATTTGCTACATTTGCCCAGCTTGATATTTGTCTTTTCATAAAGTAGATAATGTCATTTCCTGTCTTCCCCCTCTTGGAGGTCTTCTCTCCCTCTTCAGACCAGGAGTCCATATGCTGCCCTCTTCTTTCCCAGAGAGGGTTTGGTAACAAAACAGAACAAAACCCACAGCAGTTGCCATCAAGTCGGCTCTGACCCAGTCGCCCTTGAGTCACTTCTGTGTCAGAGGAGACCTTTCTCCAAAGGGTTTCAAGGGCTGTGATCTTGGGGAAGCCGATCACCAGGCCTTTCATGTGAGGTGCTGCAGCACAGATTTGAACCACCAGTGCTTAACCATTGTGCCACCATAGTTCCTCCCTCACATGGGTGGTTCCTAGAAATAAATCCATGTTGAGGTAGCCTGGGGCAATGGGGGAGCTTCACAGAATCTGGGCCTCCAGACCTGAGTTCAAATACCACCCCCACTGGCTTACATACAAGTGTGGGCAGGTTGTATGATTTTCTGGACGAGGAATAAACTCGTGCAAGGGTCAATGTGGAGACGCAATGATATAACAATAGACATGAAAACATCCAACAAAACATATGGGAACTTACTAAAGGTTATTCCTTTTTCCTTAATGAGACAATTGTTCACTGGAACATTATTTGCAAGATAAAAATAAACTAGAATCAAAAAGAGACTTGTAGAAATGATGTCTTCCTTGTATAATGGACTCTTACCCAGGTCTCGTCATTATTTGCTGAAGAATTGCTTCAGTTGCTCTTGAGTCAGTTCTGAGCATGGCGACCTCCTGTTTGTCAGAGTGAAACTGGGCCCCACGGGGTTTACAAGGACCTTTCAGAAATAGATTGGCGGGCCCTTCTTCTGAGGCATCCCTAAGCGGATTTGAACTGCCAACCTTTCAGTAACAGCCCAGTGCTTAATCTGTTAGGGCATGGGAAAATGCCACAAGAAGTTCTTTCTTTTCTCCTAATGAGATACAAATGACTGGAAAAGGCTTAATGGATGACTCCATGTGTAAATAATGGACCACTGTGTAAGTCCAGAGAAGGACTCTCGAGCAGTAAGGGACAGGAATCGGTGACAGGCTGGGACGCAGATTCGTCAATGGAATCTCCCAGTTCTTGGATTACTGTTCTCTAAGAGAACACTGAATGACATCACAGGCACCCCCACAAACCGACCCTCACAACCCAACCCACCCTACAGCCAAGTGCTTATGTTCTCGCCCACAACACCCCCTCTCCATGCTCTTGTCAGAATCTGACAATGAGAACGTGGGGCCAACACATGGCCGTTCCTCTCTCCCAATATGGTTAGCCCAGGAAACACCGTGCTGAGTGATGCTGAGTGACCAGGGAGCTCACTTCTCAGGCTTCAACCTCGTCTGCGACAGGGCTTTGGAAAATCACAAGTTGAACCTGTCTCCTCAGTCTTCCCGATACCAACCTGCTGCCTTTCCATCTGGTACCAGCAGAGGGGCACTATCAACCTGACCGCCATCTTGCCTCGATCTTTGTTGATGACAAAACCTTTCCAATTAAAGGGGCAGGGATGGTGTCCACTTGTTTCTGGTTCAATCTAACATCACCAAAACCCTCCAACAACTCTGACCACCCCAACTCAGTGTCCCACTTCTCTGCTGCGTGGCCTGCTGCCCCTGGACCGGCGTCTCAGGCCACTGGGATTCCACCTGGATCATTAGCATTTAGGTTCAGTTCTAGGGATTTGGATGGGCTGGAAGCCAAGTGCTCACCGCAGCCGTGCATAGTCTGAGTTCAACAGGTATGCAAGGCCACCCAGGCAGCAGTGCCCCCAGTGACTCAGTGTGGGCCTGGATAATGCTATTGGAGCCTGGTAGGGCTTACCCTGCATCCACTCCTTTGCCGTTCCTTCTTAATACGCTTGGTCACATTCACAAAGAAGTCCATCTGCTTCCGGGGAGCTAGAGTCACATTCATGCTTTCGAGCAGTGGCACAAAGAAAGGAAATATCACTGGGGAGGGGTAGGAAAACACCAGTTAGGCTCCAAGCAGGGCCAGGGCAAAATCAAACCCTGAAGGGACCCATGGGACGTTGGGTGCAGAGACTATTAGGGATGTGAGAAGTCGGAAACCACCCTCACCCCAAAAAGATCAGGACCTGGGTGGCTGCGCCATCAGTTGCGTACTTAGGGCTCGCTCTGTGTCAAGGGCTTCACATGCACCTCCTCAGTCAGTGCTCCCCAATCTCAGAGGGCATTTCCCTGATTATACCCATTTCACAGATGAGGAAACAGGCGAGAACTTGCCCAAGGTCACAGGGTGAGCAAGGGGCAGTCTGGGACTCATGCCCAGCCTGTGTGAGCCTACAGTCCACCCTGGAGCACTGGGCCTCCTACAGCCTCTCCCACATGTTGCCTGTAAGCACAATTCCCACGTCCACAACTGACCAGAATGTCAAGATGTCTGAGCCTACGTAGGGTGCTGGCAAGGTGGGAATGTGGGCCAACAGGAAAACGCTCTGGAGTAAACAGGTCTGTCAGCACGAACACAATACCAATGAAATGCCTCCCCTCTATCCTACCCACCTCCTCGCTCACCAGAGAACAGCGTCTCCTAGAAAGAGAACAGCTACACTCTTCTGCACCTGGGGGGATGCAGAGCGAGCCGAGCAGGACGGGAGGTCTTCAAGACTTCTCTCTACATCAGCTTTATTTCATCCTTTAAATGGATCTACTTGGAGCGTGTATTATTATGTGCCTAATATATGAGCGTGGTCTCACCAATGCATGTTTCATCAATGAATAAATACATTTGTGACCCACTCAAAATGCTGTTGGTCATATGGGTATCCAGCCATAGGGCTTGGAGACCCTAGATTGTGCTGGGCTTGTGTACTAAAGATTTGCTCTATTGTAAAAATATTTTAAATCTACTCTTGCAAAACTATACTTTTCTTAGACTTTTTCTAGTGATTTGGACAGTCTACCAGGTATATTCACAACCTCCCACACTCCTTAGTTCATGTGGTCCTCTCAGTGATGCCGTAGGTGGGGCTCTGGAGGGCAAGCTGCTGGGAAATGTGGCAAGTTCAAAGATGGCCAAGGATCACAGCTGAGTGTGCTAATGTTGCATGCTGATAGGAGAGGTGGTCTCTGTACCTATAAGGATCATCAAAGGGCTCAGAACACTGAAGGACATCAGTTTCTTAAGTTGGTGAAGAATAATATCATCTGGGTTATTGATGGAATCAGTGTGGACACCAAAGAAAGTGCTGGTGATGATATCCAGGGTATAGGCTCCAAAAATCCTGGTTTGGAAAAGATGAGATAAAAAATGTAAGGAAATCAGGAATTCAGGCAAGATGATAGAAAAAGCAGACAAGCTACACAGTCCCACTACAACAAAGAAACGAGAAACCAACTGAAACAGATACAGAAGACAATCCTGGAACATTGAGCTTTGAAGGTAAGGATAAAGAAGTAGATTAAATACTGACTAACTACTGGAGGAAAATAGCAAGTAGACAAACAGAGCTGTGAACTGTCCCCTGGCCTGACAGCACAGCCAGATTGAATGTGTGCAAGCAGTATTCTGATCCCGGCAGCAACCTGATAATCGGCTCTGCTCACCAAGGACTGCAAGGGCAACCACACTGGTGGCTGACATCCAGAAAGCCCCAGCCACTGAGCAAGGGCCACCAGCTGCTTCTGCACCAACTGATCAGCAATAGATGGTGGCCAATGCCAGCCCAATCCACCCTCCACTGCTCTCCATGAACATCTAATGGAGACCTGTGCACACTTTTTCGTCCTTCGTCACACCCACCAGGAGACAAGTGGTGAATGCCTAAGTGTTGCCAGACTAGAAAACAGTAGAATGCCAGCCCTGATTGCTCAGATATAACAAAATGAAATTAAGTGGGGGGAAAAAAAGGCAAATCACAGCACCACAGAATCACAAATAACATGTGAATACAACAACATCACAGTGTTTTGGAGACAACTGGCAATCTCAGTTCACAAAGAACCAAGATAAATTCGTACAAACAAGGGCCCAGGATACAGACCCAGAAACCTCCCAGGGGAAGAAGTGGCCTTGGAACCATCTAATAAGGAATCAAAAGAATTATAGGTGGATACCTTCAAGGGATTGAGAGATTGATCAAGGAAAACACAGACAAAACTCTAGAACAATTTAGGAACACCATACAAGAACAAACTGCTCCCTGTTTCTTTGGTCTCTCCAGGAAGTCAGCCCAGCCTCTGCTCTGTTACAGCAAGTCCTACAAAGTCCTTCATCTCCCCCAATCAGTGCCTGAAGGCAGCCCACTCCCCCAGGAAGCCTCCTCCCCAAAGGCACTCAGTTTTCCATGGGCCGACAAGCCCAATGTTCTGTCTCGTGCCAGCCTCCTGGCTCTGCTGCCACCATCTCTCTGCCAGGCTCTCTGCTACGGTCTCAGTGTAGGGATCTCAGTTCCAAGGATGTGCTCCACTCCTGCTTCCACATTTTAAGTATCTGTTAGAGTAGTACCCCACTCCTGGTACCAAATTCTGCCTCGGTTCTCTAGTGCTGCTGTAATAGAAATGCCGTGCATGGATGGCTTTAACAAACAGGAATTCATTCTCTTACACTTTAGAGACTAGAAGTCCATATTCAGAGTGCCAGCTCTGGGGCTGGTTGGCGGCCCCTCCACCTTGGGCTTCCTCTCTGCCTCCTGTTCCAGGCCCACTGGAGAGGGAGGCTTCTTCTGACTCGTGCAGCTGCTGGCTTCTGAGGTGAGGATGACGAACCCAAGGTTGGAAGGTAAAATGGCACAATCTCAAGATCAGCAGGCCACGGGTTCAAGTCCAGGAACTGGAGATGAAGGCTCAGAGAAACGCAGGATCCAAATGTTCCAACAGCTAGAGTCTCAAAGCTCCTCCTTCTATACTGGAAGCAGGCTATACCCTGAAGGTAACTACTTCACTGTTCACTGCAAAGTCCACCCTGTAGGTGATGACAATCCCATCATAGGGAATAACTACATCCAATTGCCCAGCCACTGAAAAGCACAGCCCAGCCAAGTTGATATGCAACCTTAACTACTACTAGGATTTCCTGGGCTGACATCTTTATGGGAACAGATTGCCAGGTCTTTTCCCTCACAGAGCCACTGGGTGGGTATGAACCTCCAACCTTTCTGTTAGCAGTGGGCACTTTAACCACTGTTCCACCATGGCTCCTTCGCAGGTGAGTACACGTGTAGGAACTCCCCAAACCGCGCACGTAAGCTTGCGTAGTTGTCATTCTGACATTATTCTCTGGATGCCAGACCTACACCTCTGCACACACCTGTGTCTGGTCACTGTCCCCCTTCCCTCCCAGCCCGTCGCCAGGGGAAAGGCTTCGAGAGAGACATCAGCTTTCCACGGCAGCACTGTTCTCCCTTCGAGCTTCACCAGACAAGCTGCGTTTGGGAGATTTGAAACATTCTAAAAACACATTCCCCATCTTGAGGGCGGCTTAGCGAGCCGGTGGATCCCCACACTGAAAGCTACTGCAACGCTCAGAAGCCCCGGGCAGCGGCCACAGTGGCTCAGGGTGAATCTGCAGGGTCAGCGGACAAAGAGCCAGACCAGCAGGACCCCAGCAAGAGGGCGGGGAGCGGGGCCAGGGCAGTGCCTCTGCAGTTGCTAACTGTTCCCAGAAGAGAGGAAACTGAGACAGGCTGAGGGCCGAGGAGGGTTTGAGGTGCACATGGTGCCCAGAAAACACTCGGAAACTGAATGAAAGGGCGTGACTCAGATGGTGCCATGGGGTTCCCTCTGTCTGCCCCTTCTCTGCTGGGCAGCCTGGAGCCCATGGGGTCAGGGTTGCCCTCTTATAGGCAGCCTGGAGCCCATGGTGCCATTGGGCCCCTCTGTCTGCCCCCTCTGCTGGGCAGCCTGGAGCCCATGGGGTCAGGGTTCCCCTCTTATTGGCAGCCTGGAGCCCATGGTGTCATAGGTCCCCTCTGTCTGCCCCTTCTGCTGGGCAGCCTGGAGCCCATGGGGTCAGGGTTCCCCTCTTATAGGCAGCCTGGAGCCCATGGTGTCATAGGTCCCCTCGACGTCTGCCCTCCCCTCTGCTGGGCAGCCTGGAGCCCATGGGGTCAGGGTTGCCCTCTCCGTCTGCCCCCTCTCCGCTGGGCAGCCTGGGCCGATACTGGGCCAACAATACGTTGCAGGCCTTGTTATCCGTTGCCCATCGGCTTTTGGTTCTCACCCCTGGCCTCCCTCAACGACATCCCACTGTCCCCCCGCAGACACGTCCTCTCCCTTCCTCTAAGAGACGCGTGTCCACCTGTCCTTCCTGAGATGCTAAGCCCGCCCGTGGGCGGAGGGATGAAGGGACGCCGCGGGCAAAGCAGGGTCT